AAGGACGAGGGCCACGGCGCACGTGGTGTTTGACGAGGGACAGCTGCGCCCCTCGGTCAAGGTCCAGCGCCGACCGCGCCACTTGCCGACTCGCGGCAGCGACTTTTCCGTCCCACGACGACGCCCCCGTCAAGATCCCGGGCCCGCCGCGACGTGACTTTGCTTTCTCGCTGCCCTTCCGCCTCGATCGTGCCGGATTCTCGTCTTTACTACTGTTCACTCAGGCACGCCGGGCCCGTCGGGTAGGGTGAGGGGCCGTGCCTCTCGTGTTGACGCGTCTGGCTTTGCTGCCCCTTCCGGCGCGGCGGTCGGACGAAGCGCCCATGCGTGTCTAACGTGGAACCCGCTGCCATCTGTCCTCGTTCTTCAGGGTCCAGAGCGTCCGGCACAGTGCATGCATGCACGCACCAGGGTCAGAGTAAAATCAGAGCTAGGTCACGGGCTTTTTCTTTGGGCTGGATACCACTTGTGAACTGATCGGTTTGGCCTAGCCGTGGAACCAGCAAAGATTAAGACATGACAGCGACCACAGTCCACGTACGGGTAAACTTATTCCTGCGCTTCTCCCCCTTTTTCTCCCCCCTTCATTTTCAAGATTCACTCAAGTGTGCAAGTAGACGATCCGTCCATGGCAGCAAGTCGCCGACGCGGCCTCATTTTTCCAGCCGTCCCTTGACCGCACTGCACCAACAGGTAGTCGTGCCCGACAGTGTCACACACCTTCGGTCGTTAGCGTTGCAGCCAGTCAGTCACTCAATCGACCCACCGACACGCTCGGCGTCGAAGGCAAGCAAAGGGAGAGAAGCAAAACCTCTTTTTCTCTCGGCCGCAAGTTCGTTAAAAACCTCTCCTCGGTGCATGCACGAAGCTGTGGGCTTCGGGCGGCGCCGCATTGCGGGTGTCAGAGCTTCGTGCCCAAGGCCAAGTTTTCCTCCTCGCATTAATTAACCTTGTGCTGAAGCGGGGCAAAGCGTTCCACGGTGGGGCCTCGTGTCATGGGCGAATTGTTGTCCGGTCAATCGCACGGGCCGGAATGCATTGCGGCGCCACTCGGGTTCACATGTGCGCAAACTGTGCTCCGACAGGGCGCTGCATCTATTTTTTCTCTTTAATTATGGAGCACGTACTCGGGATAAAAGGTGGTGGGTGGATCGGTCGGATGTTCCTGGCTCAGTCGTCCGCTCACCAAAGCTGGTCATTTGTGTCATCAATTTTGCATGCATTCCTTGGCCATTACAGTAAAATTCTTGAAAGAAGGCAATTTTTTTTTGCCTCATATACTAATTAAGAGAGGAATAGAGAGAAAGTTACAAGAAACAACACACAAAGTGATTACGAAACTACTATGCAGACGATACTTGCTGGGACGAAAACTGGACGATGATGAATCCATTGGCTAGCCATAGTTTGCTCATTTGCATGGACGGCTTGATTAGCAGTGTCGTGCAAGAATCGGCCACTATGTGTTGTCTATGTAGCAGCGCTCAAGTGATTACTCTCCTGATAAGATGGCACCTAATTTTTTTTGCACCCCATGGTCACCAAAAGACGAGCTTCATCTTTTATGGGGGTGTAGCAATATCAACTGCGCAACACTCTTGTTGCGGAAAATTCGTGCATTTTTTTCATTCCATTTGGTCCAGCATACGTGTATGGTGATGGAAGCCCATGTCCTTCCTATTGGGGTTGGAAGAGTCCGACCGCTTGATCCACCAACCTTTGATGGATCTCTCAAGATGCCAAGTGTCGGCGTTGATATTTTCTAACTGAAGCCAATCCTTACTCAAGATCCAAAGCCGTATAGTGAAGCGACATTTGAAGAAAAAGATGTGCACCGGATTCTTGCTTCCACTTGTAAAGAGCGCAAAGACTACAATTCGGTGAACCAAGCTTGCCAAACCTATTGGCAGTCCAAAGCCTATCTGAAGTGGCCAACTAAGAGAAGAATTTAAATTTTTAGGGGGGTGAGTGATAAGTTTTCCACACCTCGTGCTCCATGGGGAAGTAGAAGGTTCACATGAATTGGGCCGCGTAGTCAAAAGCCGCAGAGTATTGCCCATTGTTTTTGTGCTTCCACATGATTTCATCTGAAAAACATGGATGATAGTCCAGAGGGTCACAAATCGGCGGATCTGCTCCAGAGTGAAGTTTGCTGACAACTTGACCTTGGATACCAAAGCATCATCAGAAAGAGCCTCCTTGATCTTCTTACTTTTACTCGATGAAGCCACAAAAATGAGGGGCGCAATCTCCTCGGTCTTCCCATTATTGATCCATGGCGCATCCCAAAAACAGCGTCTTCAGACCATTCGGAACGGTAATAGTGGTAGAAGCATAAAGGAGGTTAAGATCTTGCTCGTCACAAGGGTTGGCCATTATCAATTCATACACACATGTATGCTCTAATTTATTTACTTTTTGCAGGGAAACTTTCAATCCATTCATTATCAATCATGACGGTACAACAAAAGTGGAAATATTACAAATTACACCTAGATCCGTAGACTATCTAGCGACGACTACAAGCATTGAAGCGAGTGGAATGCGCGCCGCTGTCATCACCCCTTTCTCGCTGGAGCCGAGTAAAACTTGTTGTAGCAGACTGTCGGAAAGTCGCTGTACTAAGGCCCCATGGGACCAGCACACCAGAACAGCAACCGTCGCCGATGAAGATAAGCGTAGATCGGAAGGATCCAATTTAAAGACACACGAACACAGCGCGAACGAAGATCTGATCTGTGTGGATCCACCAAAGACAACTACCGAACGAATCCTGTGAGATCCGCCAGAAACACACCTCCGCACACCCTCAAACGGTGCTAGTTGCATCGCCGGAATATGGGCTAGACGGAGAGAACTCTATTCCATCTTCATGGAGCCGCCCTCGCTTGATCTTCCTGAATAGGAAACAAGCCTTTAACGGATAAAAAAAGGCGTAAAAGTAAAGGAGTCTTCCCGCCAGCATGGACCGAGATCCACCACGTCTTCATGGCCTAATGCCATAGGGGACGAGGTAGACCTGTAACGATGCCGGCAGGGAGCAAGAAACCCTAGCCCCCTTGACCTCGTGAGAGATACAGGCGAACGGGTACTGGGATACACTCATACACAGGTATGCTCTATTTTATTTTTATTTTTTGCATCATGCTCTAATTGACTCTAGCCAAATAACATTAGCTGTACTAATAGTAAGTATAGTAAAACTTGACCATCGGGTGCCGGAGAACGAGCCAGTTCATTCTGGGTAACAACGAGGTCCAAGTCCTACGTGTAACCATTCTTCCTCTGTTCTTGTCAACACCGAAGTCTCTGCAGTAACGTGCCAACCATTCTTCCTCTGTTCTTGTCAACACCGAAGTCTCTGCAGTAACGTGCCAACGGTTCACTACCCGTTCTGTCCTGAATTTCCTCCGATTCCCTCCATTCTTGCAATACAAGTCTCCGTAACTACCATGGGATGCTACCAGTAGTCCAGAGGCATAGCCCAGTGGTTGGGGGCGCATGATTGTAAACCTAACGACCAGAGTTCGATCCACGTCGGGGACGAATTTCTGGAATTCTCATGAGGGATGCTTCTTCTATATCAATAAAACCGTGGGTGCTAGTGCCCATGGAGTTTCATTTTTTTTTTGATAGTACATCCGGAAATTCCTTCCTAAAAATTGCTAGTATTAGAAGAGAAGCCAACGTCTACGTCGGTCAAGAAAAGGGGCACAGCCAATAGATTACTCCGCATCATCCGTCGTAAACAACGTTGCATCTGGGCGTGGCATTGACTCGTGTGGTTAGCTCACCGGTCTTCTTCCCGAAAGGCAGGCATGTTATGTTGGGTTAGAGTTTGGGCACCCAGGAAAAGAGCGGCACTACAAAATAGCTCGCCAGGGTTTAATATGATTGGAATAAATCGTTTAGTAAAATTAATTACCAGCCAAACTTTTACTGTAATAAGATGCTGTTTCCCAACAAAAAGGAAGGAAGAATCGGGGAAGTGTTTCCCTCGAATATGACGGGAAAGAATCGATTCCGTAGTCTACTCGAGCTCAACTAAGCAGAAAACAAATGGTTAGCCCGCCAAAGTTTTCCTAACAGAGCAAAGTTTTCCTAGCAAAGCACCAAAAGAAAAGGCTAGAGTCAACAAGTCTTTCCTGTCCCCCTCTTTCCACTCCCTCCCCCCTCCCCCCTCCCATTTGCTGCACGGGGCAAAGCCTAATCGCAATCAACCTAGAGTAATAACAACCGAATGGGCCTTTTTTTAATATATCGTTTTTGCAAGAGTGAGTCGAGCAAAAAAGCAAAGGGAATCCTTCTTTTCGCTCTTTCTCCCCGTGCATCTCGCAAGCATGTGTGTGTGGTGTACTTCCTTTTCCTTGACCCGATCACCACCGCCACACTCCCCGAACCCAAGACAGAGGCAGCCGACATCCACCGCGCCCCGTCCCCCACCCACCCGTTGGAAAGATCCCCGCGCAGATTGCCATGCCATGCCGCTAGTAGCACCAACACCCAACAGAAAACGTCGCTGTGAAGTCAGTCGTCACCGCCGATCCCTTCTCCCCCTCGCGCGCGCGTGCACGCACCCTCCGGTCTCCTTCCGGTGCCTCCACCCCGTCCGCATGCTCGAATTCCACGACCCCCATCCCCGTTTCTTTATTCCGTTTCCTTTCCTCCGAGCCCTGCGTGGCCAAGAAGAGGACAAGCGTGTGAGTTGTGATGTGATGTGAGCCGCTTCGTCCTCTTCTTTTCCTCCCCCTCGTAGTAGTACGACCTGACCTTCCTAGCTAGCGACTTTGCTAGACCGCTAGTCCTGTGCTTGGCTATATAACACGACTGCTCCACGCCATTCTCCTCTCACTCGGAACTCGGAAATAGTTCTCCATCCCAAGCTTCTCTTCTCCCTTCTCTTCTCCTCTCGCGCGCGTTGCCTCGAACCGGAAGGAACAGCGTCCATTCCATTACAGTAGAGCTTGGTGTTTGAGAGACGATCAATCCGTCGTCGACCAATGGATCCATGGGTCAGCAGCCAGCCTTCGCTGAGCCTTGACCTGCACGTCGGCCTCCCGCCGATGGGGCACCCGCACAGCCACCACCAGGCGGCGCCGATGGTCGCGCTGGCCAAGCCCAAGGTCCTCGTCGAGGAGAACTTCATGCAGCTCAAGAAGGACCCTGAGGTAGGCACACACGTCCATACAGAAACAAATCAAGAACGCCATGATTTTGATTCTGCTTGCTTGGGTTTATCTGCGAGCTTGAACTGAATGTTTTTGTCGGTATATAGGTTGCGGTTCTTGAGTCGGAGCTACAGCGGGTCAGCGAGGAGAACCGGCGGCTGGGCGAGATGCTCAGGGAGGTGGCCTCCAAGTACGAGACCCTGCAGGGCCAGTTCACCGACATGGTCACGGCCGGCGCCCACGCCGGCGGCAATAACCACTACAACAACCAGCCGTCCTCCGCGTCGGAGGGCGGGTCGGTGTCGCCGTCGAGGAAGCGCAAGAGCGAGGAGAGCAACGGCACGCCACCGCCGTCGCACCAGCATCAGCAGCAGCACTACGCCGGCGGCCTCGCGTACGCGGCGGCGCCGGACCAGGCGGAGTGCACGTCCGGCGAGCCGTGCAAGCGCATCCGGGAGGAGTGCAAACCCGTCATCTCCAAGCGCTACGTCCACGCCGACCCCGCCGACCTCAGCCTGGTGGTGAAGGACGGGTACCAATGGCGCAAGTACGGGCAGAAGGTGACCAAGGACAACCCCTGCCCCAGAGCCTACTTCCGGTGCTCCTTCGCCCCCGGCTGCCCCGTCAAGAAGAAGGTGCAGAGGAGCGCCGAGGACAAGACCATACTCGTGGCGACGTACGAGGGCGAGCACAACCACAGCCAGCCCCCGTCGTCGCAGCCGCAGCAGCAGAACGACGGCTCCGGCGCGGGCAAGAACGCCGGGAAGCCACCCCAGGCGCCGGCCACGCCTCACCACCCGCAGCAGCATCAGCAGCAGCACAAGCAGGAAGCGCCAGCGGTAGCCGTCAGCGGCGAGTCCGCCGCCGCGGAATCCGAGATGATCCGTCGGAACCTGGCGGAGCAGATGGCCATGACGCTGACGAGGGACCCCAGCTTCAAGGCGGCGCTCGTCACCGCCCTCTCCGGCCGGATCCTCGAGCTATCGCCGACCAGGGACATAAATTAATCCCCGCATTAGAAGACACTGCGCGGCTCAAATTTTCTTGCGGTGGTCGATTACTTCCTCCGGCATTGCTGCCTTCCTGCCCCTGCCGCCTCCGTCAAACCACGCAGAAAAACCAGCGAGAACCGGAACGCCTGACCAACGACGAAGACGCGATCGGTTCCGGCGAGCCGGGAACGGAGCCGCTGCTCCTGCTGCTCGTGTAAATACATCGCCAACACGAGGGCGGCGAGGGAGGGTGTAGCATGTAATGTACTCTAGTAGATGCAGTCAGTCATTCAGGAACACGCGAAAGTGTGCAATCCTTTTTTTTTCCTCACTAGGCGAAATATTCGTTCCATAATTTCCATGGAACTCGATTCGATTCAATGAGAAAATCAAAGTCACCGTACATTCTCAGTTCAATCGCTCAAATTTTGTCAATGCTCAATACACATGTGCTGCTGCAGCGAGACATCCTCTGAACCAAACTACTACGGGGTATAGTACAGTAGCAACGAGAAATCTCGCGAAGTCGCGAGCTGCGAAGAGAGGAAAATGAGTTTGACGATCTTATCCGGAAAGGGTCCACGTAGGCAGTAGCTGTAGTAGACTCTACTGGACCCAGCTCGCCGCCAGAATACGCTGGGAAGAGGTCGGAGAATACGCGAACGACCCGGGGTGGGGCCCACACAGGTCGGCCGTGTCCCACGTGCGACGGAGTAGGAGTTGCTACGGTCGCCGGGGGAAGCAGGGAAGCTGGGTGGAAACGGGAGCCCGGACGGCGGGCGGGTGGGCCCGTGGATGGCTGGCTGGCGCCTCACGGATGGAGTGATTTGTCAAAACACGTGCGGTCGGCGGCCCCGCTTCGACGACGCTGCGGGAGGATCGTTGCAACCACGCACCTCTCCTCTCTGAATCTCTTTTATTTCTCTTCGGCTTTGAAACGCACTTCTATTGTTTTAAAATCTTCGAGGGTACTGGCCTCCAGATCTGCGCGAGATACCGTTTTCTTTTAAATCCCCGGGTTATTTAACAATAGTAAAAAATATCTTAAAATAAAGTCTATAATGATTGAATAAAAATACAAATAAATTCTATAAGTTTTTTTTTAAATATTCTGTGGTTAAGCATATCAAGCTTACTTAATATTTAAGAAGTAGACCTTCAAATTCAGAACTAGCTAATTCCATCTTTTAGTTGTTGTGAAAAGTGGTGCCTGTAAAGATCATGCATTTCAGTCAAATTTAGCTAGGGCTCTCTGATTCACAGGATTATCCTGGGATTTGGCTTCTTCAAAAAATTCCATCCTTACAAAAATACCTAAAAATATTAACACTTCTTTCTCAGGTAAGCTTAACTGCGTGTTTGGTTGGCATAGTAAGTTTGCTACACTTCGTCACACCATAATTTAGGCAAGTTTGACCGAGTTAGCCCATTTTTGGTGTGCAACCATACTTATGGAAAGATTCCTTTCATGTAAAGTAAAACTAGGCCTCAACTGCCATTGACTAGGAAAAATGTGGTAAGATTAACTCATGTGTGACAAACTATGACGTCAATTTTGATCGCCTAACCTTAGAAATGTATGACAAAAAAATGTGGCAACTGATGAAAATCTTGGTGTATGAACCAGATATGCCCCAAATCTCCCAACCTCGTAATCTTGGTACATCTTCTATATCTAATAAATGTCTAGCCCTCACTAACGTTTTTTCAACATGCAAATATGTTACCCCATCATTCAACATGCATGGGAAAAGAGCCACCTCAATATGCACCCATGCATAAGTTCAAGTTCCTACCTCATTATGCAAACATGCATGAGAAATTTTATTTTATTCATATTAAATAAATATTTTACAACTATACAAAAATCAAACACAACAAATAATTATTTCTAGTTCTAATTCTCACATTATTTCAAATATTCATGTTCGATGCAACCAAATCTCATTAAAATATATTATAAAATATTTCCGCAACAACGTGCGGGGTATCATCTTGTAATTAATAATGTCAAAATCATCAACACTAAGAGTGACAACAATGTCAAGAATGAACAAGGACAAAGCTTTTGGAGTTTTTCTTAAGACATTCAAGATGGAATGTAGGTGAAATACAAGTAATTGCACACTTGATATACTAATCTTACATATTCTTCATGTTTAACTCCATGTCTTCTCGAATTGTGATCTTCTCGGGACTTGGCACTCTAATTGTGCATTGGGAACTTTGAAGATGATCTTTGGAGGCTTGGAGATGTGAAAGATGCAATGTGATGCCTGAAGGAAATATGCCCTACAGGCAATGATAAAGTTGTTGTTTTATATTTCCTTATTCATGATAAAGGTTTATTATTCATGCTAGAATTGTATTGATCAGAAACTTAAATACATGTGTGAATACATAAACAAATACCGTGTCCCTAGTGAGCATCTACTAGACTAGCTCGTTCATCAAAGATGGTTAAGGTTTTCTAACCATGGACATGTGTTCTCATTTGATAACGGGATCACATCATTAGGAGAATGATGTGATGGACAAGACCCATCCGTTAGCTTAGCATAATGATCGTTCAGTTTATCGCTATAGCTTTCTTCATGTCAAATACATGTTCCTTCGACTATGAGATTATGCAACTCCCGGATACCGGAGGAATACCATGTGTGCTACCAAAGGTCACAACGTAACTGGGTGATTATAAAGATGCTCTACAGGTATGTCCGAAGGTGTTTGTTGAGTTGGCATAGAGTCAAGATTATGATTTGTCACTCCGAGTATCGGAGAGGTATCTCTGGCACCTTTCGATAATACACATCATAAGAAGCCTTGCAAGCAAAGTGACTAATGAGTTAGTTTCAAGATGATGTATTATGGAACGAGTAAAGAGACTTGCCGGTAACGAGGTTGAACTAGGTATAGAGATATCGACAATCGAATCTCGGGCAAGTAACATACCGATGGACAAAGGGAACTACGTATGTTGTCATAACGGTTCGACCAATAAAGATCTTCGTAGAATATGTAGGGGCCCATATGGGCATCCAAGTTCCGCTATTGGTTATTGACCGGAGAGGTGTCTCGGTCATGTCTACATAGTTCTCGAACCCGTAGGGTCCGCACGCTTAACGTTCGTTGACGATATAGTGTTATATGAGTTATATGATTTGGTGACTGAATGTTGTTCGGAGTCCTGGATGAGATTACAGACATGACGAGGAGTCTCAAAATGGTCGAGAGGTAAAGATTGATATATAGGACGAGGGTATTTGGACACCAAAAGTGTTTCGGGTAGTACCGGGTACTTATCGGGTCGCCCGTAGGTGTTCCGGGCACCCCGACAAAAATATGGGCCTTATGGGCCAAGCACCAGCCCACAAGGGGCTGGTGCGCCCCCATAGCTAGCCGGCCCTAGGGGAGAAGGAAAGTGGAGACAAGTGTTGGTGTCAAAACCGGCAGATCTCGGGTAGGGGGTCCCAAGCAGTGCGTCTTAGGATCAATGGTAACATGAACACGGGATTTTACCCAGCTTCGGGCTCTCTTGATGAGATAATACCCTACATGCTGCTTGATTGACTATAATGAATATAGGGGTTACAAGAGTTGATCTACCTCGAGATCATATGTTGTGGTCTAAACCCTAGAGGTATGATGAATAATGTCATGATCCTCTATCGACTAGCCTAGCCTCGGGTTATATAATGTACCATAGGCCTAGGGTAACAAGAGTCCTAGCCGAATACGCCGGTGGGGGAGGAGTCCTTGTCTTGATCACCAAGTCTTGTGGAATCTTCCTTGTATGCGGCAACTGTCCGAACTGGCCCATGAGTATACGGCCATGGGGGTCCTCAGTCCAATCTAACTGATCGGGGGATGACGTGGTGAGTACCCCCTAGTCTAGGAAACCATGAGTAGCCCCCTGAACCGGTCTTCAAGTTGGGGACGCTCCTCGATTCTTCCGAACTGTTCTTCATCTTCGGTCATCGGTCTTGAAAACTGGTTCAACAAATCTTCTCATCTTCGATCTTGAGGATCGTGAAGTAAATCCAAAGAGTTTATATGTCGGGTATCCGAGGAACCCCTTTAAGTTTCCGGCCTTTATCAATGCCTTGTTATTATTATGCCACACCTCAGGTTTGAAGTTATTCCCGGGCGGCAGTGTCCTCTTGCGTCCGAGCTCCAACGCCGGATTGCATTCGAGGTATCTTTTGCAGCCAAGCACCAACGCTAGACTGCTTCCGAGCTCCAACGCCGGAATGTATCCAAGCTCTAACGCCGGATTGTGTCCAAGCTCCAACGCTGGACTGTATCCGAGCTCCAACACCGGACTATATCCGAGATGTCATAGATCATCTGGGTTCAAAAAGTTGAAGGAGTTTAGCCGAGCTTAATGCCGGAAATGCCCTCTATGGAGCCAGCCACTGGCGCCCGAGCTTAATGCCGGACTGCTTCCGAGGTGGTGCACCATCCCTGACTGTGGGCTGATTTTTTGATTGGTGCAATTTATTCTCTGCCGAGATATATAGCCAGTAGCCCTCAAGGTGTGTGCGTCGGTCTAAAACCCGAGATGCACTTGAAGGAAAACATGAAACCGCTGATCCTAGTTGCCCCTAAGACTCAGGTCGATGCGCGAAATCGTCCTGAGGATCAACTCCTAGCTCGACAGCATACATAGGAATAGAAACGCGGTGTGCAAAGTCCTCGAGACTCAGGCCGACCAACCTGAGGATAATAATCTCCTCGAAAACTATATTGCACTTTAAATTTTCTGCATTGGACAGGCAATGCAGTAGCCACCGAGACACTGGTCGGGTGGCGACACCAGATCAGGGGATCGATGTACCCCTTTAATATTTGTAAATAATAAGCACGAAGCCCAGTAGCCCCCGAGCCTTAATGTGGGCACGGGTGGCCGAATTAAGGATCGATATCCAAAGTAAAATCACAAATTATGTGTAATGATTCTATGTATCCAAGTACTCTACATCATCAATGCTCGGATCCGCATTGTATAGAACTTT